GGCAGTCCCTGGGTTACATGGATCCGACTTACATCGGATCCCTACTTACAAACGGGGTGAGGCAACCCCGCACTAGCTGCTTCCCCCCAGCAGATCAGGAAGACGCAAAGCTAGCGCCCTCCCCAGCAGATCAGGGAGACACGGAGCGGCTTTTCTCAGCAGACACTTCAGCTTGAGAATAAAGGGCTGAGGGAAGTGAGGTGTGGGAGAATAAAACTGAGCTCTGGAGAAATGTTTGGCTAGAGTTTCCCCTACAATATGTACCAGTTCCGACTTACATACAAATTCAACTTAAGAACAAACCTACAGTCCCTATCTTGTACGTAACCCGGGGACTGCCTGTACAGCAAATCTACTTCAATGTGTGGCTTTACTGAATCTATTGGCCCTGGGCTGTTGGGCCAAAGTTGGGTGCAGGCCATGCAGTACCCAGGGTAAGGTTTCATATGCCTTCTGGAGGGCAGAGGGCAGCCCATCTAGAGGGAGTGCAGCATTACCTGCAGCTCCGCTCCTTGGCGAAGCCCTCTGACTGAGCCAAGAGCTGCTCCCTGCCCCAGGCTTGGTTTCCATTGCAAGTGACCCAAGGGAACTGCAGTGAAAACTGCAGCCTGAATCTCAGGGCAGGGCTGATGCAGGAGGTACTGGACTGAACCATACCGCCGCGTGAGGGATCACTTTGGCTGCAAAGGTACTAAAGCCAGTGAAGAGGGGGCGGGGGAGGGGGACAGCCAATGGTCCCACTAATCTTGTCTATTCGTGTGTGGAATAAATGTTTATGTGCACCACCAAGAGAAAAACAAAATCTGGCTGTGGGTGCTCTGCTAATCAGTCGGGTGTTATTTAAATCTCTCGTGAGTGGCTGCACAAGTGAATGGCTTACAGGGAACACTGGTGACAATCTTTTGGCCTGACTACAACAGCTTCTGACATGGGCTTGAGGTAAGGCCTCCAGCACTAGCCAGCCCCAAGTGCTTGCAGCACCAAATGTCCCACCCCAAAATGGGGGAAGGAGCTGAGTGGCAACAGGAGGCTTTTCCTGAAGCTGGTCCCCAGAGGGAGAAAAGGGCAGGTATGCAAGTTGTTATGCAGGGGCAGGTTAATGCTCAGATGTTCTTTGTGCCCAATACATTGTAATTAGGGATGTTAAATTTTGATTAACTGACTAATTGAATAGTTGATGCAATTTGCATTGACTATTCAATTAGTCTATAAGGGTGCCCTTCCCCCCGCCTTTGAAGTATAGCAACAGCCCTAGGGCTGTTGCTACACTTCAAAGGCAAAAGTGCTGCAGGGAGCACGAGGCCAGTGGGGGGGGGGCAATCCCCCACTCACCCCTTGCTCCTGCAGCATTTCAAAGCAGCAGCAACGTACAGAGTCAGCAGGGGAGTCTCCCAGAGTCAGCAGGGGAGTCTCCAACTGATCCCAGGCTCCATGTGGTGCTGCTGCTTTGAAATGCTGTGTGCAGCCTTGGGACTCCCTAGCTTGCCCTGTGTGCACATGGTGTTTGAAAGGGGTAGCGCTGTGTGGAGCCCAGCGTCTGGCCCCAGGTGCCACACGGTGCTGCCATTTTGAAGCATCCCCCTCATCTTTCCCCCCACTTCCTGCCTCTTTTTGATAGTAAAGGGGGGGGGAAGACAAGTGGTGTGTTCACTATGGGATAAGCAATTGATTATCAGATAGTTGGCTACTCAACTAGTCTTCACATCCCTAATTGTAATCTGCCTCTGCTCCGTCCTCTGCTACCCGCTCTGCCCCCCGTCCCTCCTGTCCCCCTCAGTCCCCAGTCCTCTGCTACCCACTCTGCCCCCCCATGTCCCTCCTATCCTCAGTCCCCACCCCCAGCCGTGTGCTACCCGCTCTGCCCCCCGTCCCTCCTGTCCCCCTCAGTCCCCAGTCCTCTGCTACCCACTCTGCCCCCCCATGTCCCTCCTATCCTCAGTCCCCACCCCCAGCCGTGTGCTACCCGCTCTGCCCCCCGTCCCTCCTGTCCCCCTCAGTCCCCAGTCCTCTGCTACCCACTCTGCCCCCCCATGTCCCTCCTATCCTCAGTCCCCACCCCCAGCCGTGTGCTACCCGCTCTGCCCCCCGTCCCTCCTGTCCCCCTCAGTCCCCAGTCCTCTGCTACCCACTCTGCCCCCCCATGTCCCTCCTATCCTCAGTCCCCACCCCCAGCCGTGTGCTACCCGCTCTGCCCCCCGTCCCTCCTGTCCCCCTCAGTCCCCAGTCCTCTGCTACCCACTCTGCCCCCCCATGTCCCTCCTATCCTCAGTCCCCACCCCCAGCCGTGTGCTACCCGCTCTGCCCCCATGTCCCTTAGGCCGGTGCAGCGACAGAAACACTAAACTACTCTGAATTTGCGACTTTGGGTGCACTGAGCATGCGCACCCGAAGTGAGCAAACTCAGTAGCCCTTGCTGAGGCCGCTGCCCTCTCTCTGCCCTCACTGCCTCCTCAGATTTGCTTCCTCCTCTTTGGAGATGTTTAAAATGATGAAGGGGGCAAATTGCAGTGGGGGGGGGTGTCAGGTTCTGA